AATTATAAAATAATAAAATAAAACAATAAAATTCTCACGACGTTTCGACTGCAACACAAGCAATCATCATCTGGTGTGAAAACCACCTGATGGTGATTGCTTGTGTTGGAAATCGAAATGTACTTTTTTTCATCAAACCCGATGTATTTATTTACATTGTACATTCTTTTTTTTTTTACCGATTAAGAACCAAAGGGGTGCAGGCTGCCGGAAAGTTTAAGAACCACTGCGACCGAGCATGATGCAAAGGGTATGTGAATTTGGGGAACGGTCGTCAACGCCATTGACAAAGTGATATCTATAAACCATTTAAACTTCACCTTTTTATTTTACCAGGTAAGGCCCACTCAGGTGCTTTTTAGCTCTTTTTCAGAAACGGCCTGAGAGCTCAACGAAGTGGCTTATCGCGTGGACATTTTAAATCTGCCAAACACCTTAAACGGGAAAACACGCAATCTCCAAATATACAGCAGCAGCAGGCGTGAGGCTCGGGATCGAACCCACGACCCCCTGCACACCAGGCGAGGTAGTCAACATCTCGCGAGACATCATCCCTGATCTGACCCTGCCAAGTCAACGTGCAGCGTTGGGCTAACGCCGATCCTCCCTCCCTCCCCCTCTCGTCCAGCAGGCTCCCCGCGGATGAGCAGAAGGCGCGAGGCCCCGCACGACCCCGAGCCCCTGGCCGGCCAGCCCGGGCGACGGGCGGCCGTTCTGGCCCAGCGCAACCGCACGCCGCCGGACACTTCCACCGCCGCCACCGCCGCCGCAGCCGCCACCACGACAACCGCCGCCCGCCACGTCTCGCGATCGTCCCGCACCAAAGGCCCGGCCGTGACGCAGGCCGCCTCGTCGAGGCCGGGCAGACAGCGCGGCCGCTCCGTGCCTCTGAGGCCCGTGGGTGTCCAACAGCAGCAGGCGCAGCAGCAGCCGCAGCAGCAGCAGCAGCACAAGAGGCACAGGCAGCGCGGGCGGGAAGGCTGCCTCTCTCCGGGGAGGCCCCCGCACTACCAAGCGCGAGCCCCCGTGCCCGGCGTCCCTGACGCTCAGTGGCTGGAGCAACCTCAGCATCATCATCATCAGCACCTGCAGCAGCAGCAGCAACTGCACTTGCAGCAGCAGCAGCCGGGGGCAATGCAGTCGTCCATGCTGGTGCCGGTCATGCAACGGCACGAGCACCACCACTACCACGAGCACCATCACCACCACCACTACCACCACTACTACGAGACGTGATGACGCGCGCGCGCCGCCGCTCCGGCTTTTTGATCTCCCGCCTCTCCGCGAGATCGCTCGACCGAGGGCCCCCCCCCCCCACGCTGCCGCCCGGCTTAACTCACCCGACCGCACGCACGGCTCCGATCGAAGACACGGCGGGAGGCAACGTCGACGGGGAGGAGCTTCTCCGTTGAGCAAAGCCGCGCGGAAAGCCACCGAAACCCCCCCTCAAGGGGATCGGCTCGGTGACGCGACCGATGACATTGTCGGCGGGCGGGCGGGCGGGCGGGCGGGCGCGCGCGGCGGTTTGTCAGCGGCAACTTGAAACGACGGAAAGCTCCGGCGGTCCGTTGTCGTGTTTCTTTTTTTGGTCGCCCAAAAAAATAATTTTTCATTCATCTGTAAGACGCCTTCCACTAATGTCTGTCGGCTCTCTCACCGCTTACCCCCCCTCCCCCCCCCCCCCCGGCGATGATCGTTGAAGGTGCCAACCCTTGGGTTTCTCTGAGCCGAAGGAATTGCTTCCAGCTGTGGTGGATCTCGACAGGGACGACACCTTCGCCTTGTGGAGATCTCTTCGGAGTGAGGGCCCCCGGGTTATTGTCTGGGACTCGTACGATAAGACGTCCGCACATTTCCCTTTCTATCTCTCTCACACACCCCCCACCTCTTCCACCACCATCACCACTTTGGATGACCGCTGGACTGTAGCTTGCTCATCGTCAGAAATAGTAAAAATGTCTCAGGGAGATTGCCCAGTGGTCAAGGCCACGAGGATTGGGCTTGTTCAAAAATTTTGCTGAGAGAGAGAGATATAAAAAAAAATATATAGAGAGAGAGGTTACGTGAACATGTTAAGTGCTATTCTAGTGGAACCTGTGCTGCCAGTGTAAGTTTTCTCTTCAGCCACCCTTTGCTCTGCATCAGCGGCCCCCGAAAACTCAAGACGCTGGGGTCCAACCAGGGAGCAAGAAATACTTTCGGCGCAAAGACCACGGTGGCCTCGGGACATCCGTAGATTAAAAATACGCCCGCAAGAAAAAGCACGAATTCTCTCATTTGTAGCGCATTATTAAGGATTTTTCCCCCCAGGGGTTTCCTCTTCTTCTTGAGGGAAGTTTTCCCGGGACATCCGTCATTCATCCCGGGACGTTCAAAGTCCCGGTTGATGTGTCAGTTGCGCGACGACGCGCCACCCCGGTCACATGCCCTTCAACGAGCCCTTCACGAGCCCTTCACGAGCCCTTCACGAGCCCTTCACGAGCCCTTCACGAGCCCTTCAACGAGCCCTTCACGAGCCCTTCACGAGCCCTTCACGAGCCCTTCACGAGCCCTTCACGAGCCCTTCATGAGCCCTTCACGAACCCTTCACGAGCCCTTCACGAGCCCTTCACGAGCCCTTCAACGAGCCCTTCACGAGCCCTTCACGAGCCCTTCACGAGCCCTTCACGAGCCCTTCACGAGCCCTTCACGAGCCCTTCACGAGCCCTTCACGAGCCCTTCACGAGCCCTTCACGAGCCCTTCACGAGCCCTTCACGAGCCCTTCACGAGCCCTTCACATGCCCTTCACGAGCCCTTCATGAGCCCTTCACGTGCCCTTCACGAGCCCTTCACGAGCCCTTCACGAACCCTTCACGTGCCCTTCACGAGCCCTTCAACGAGCCCTTCACGTGCCCTTCACGAGCCCTTCACGAGCCCTTCACGAGCCCTTCACGAGCCCTTCACGAGCCCTTCAACGAGCCCTTCACGAGCCCTTCACGAGCCCTTCACGAGCCCTTCACGAGCCCTTCAACGAGCCCTTCACGAGCCCTTCAACGAGCCCTTCACATGCCCTTCAATAGCCCTTCACGAGCCCTTCACAAGCCCTTCAATAGCCCTTCACGAGCCCTTCAATAACCCTTCACGAGCCCTTCAATAGCCCTTCACATGCCCTTCACATGCCCTTCACGAGCCCTTCACGTGCCCTTCACGAGCCCTTCACGAGCCCTTCACGAGCCCTTCACGAGCCCTTCACGAGCCCTTCACGAGCCCTTCACGAACCCTTCACATGCCCTTCACGAGCCCTTCATGAGCCCTTCACGTGCCCTTCACGAGCCCTTCACGAGCCCTTCACGAACCCTTCACGTGCCCTTCACGAGCCCTTCAACGAGCCCTTCACGTGCCCTTCACGAGCCCTTCACGAGCCCTGCACGAGCCCTTCACGTGCCCTTCATGAGCCCTTCACGAGCCCTTCACGAGCCCTTCACGTGCCCTTCACGTGCCCTTCATGAGCCCTTCACGAGCCCTTCACGAGCCCTTCAACGAGCCCTTCACATGCCCTTCAATAGCCCTTCACGAGCCCTTCACAAGCCCTTCAATAGCCCTTCACGAGCCCTTCAATAGCCCTTCACGTGCCCTTCACGAGCCCTTCACGAGCCCTTCAACGAACCCTTCAACGAGCCCTTCACGAGCCCTTCACGAGCCCTTCACGAGCCCTTCACGAGCCTTTCACGAGCCCTTCACGAGCCCTTCACGAGCCCTTCACGAGCCCTTCACGAGCCCTTCACGAGCCCTTCAACGAGCCCTTCACGAGCCCTTCACGAGCCCTTCATGAGCCCTTCACGAACCCTTCACGAGCCCTTCACGAACCCTTCACGAACCCTTCACGAGCCCTTCACGAGCCTTTCACGAGCCCTTCACGAGCCCTTCACGAGCCCTCTTCTGGCGTCGAGCGACGATTCTTCTTCCGCCGAAACGTCCCGCTTTCTCGCGCCGCAGATGTGGAAACACGATGCAGAATACAAGTGTTGGTAGACACAACGGTTGCGTTGTGACCCATAAGGCCCTTACTTGCTCGTGCCTTGCCTAGGGACAGGCTGTAGGTCGCTAATTTTCAAACGTGGCGTTTCATTTGTCGGGCGTGCGTGCGTGCGTGCGTGAGCTAATTTCCATTTCTGCTTTCTAGATTTATTTTTTGTGGAAATCTGACGAAGGTGCCTTCTTGCGGCAAAATGTAGTCGCAGTTTCGGCTCGGGGCGCCCGCCTGTACAGAGATGGCCTGGGGTATTTATTCACGCGTAACGCTTCGAGCGCCAATTTAATTCCAAGCGCTCCGAGTTCGATTCCCGGCCATTGCCAACACCGGTGGCGATTGTTATCTGAACCGGTCCTTGCAGGATCCACCTCTGCCTTCGCCGACCCGCAATGACCAGCGTGGTGAAGTATGGTCGAAGAAACTCCCAGGTCATTTGGAGGCCGTCATTCAGAGGTGGATCGACGTTTGGCATTGTAAATTATTATCGTTATTGATTTTTTTATTATTATATATTAATCCGCCAAGAGCTACTCTCTGGCTGAAACAGAAAAAAACTTTTTTTTATGTATTTTAGATTCTTTATTGTAATGAAGAACGTAACAAAACTACAGAAAACATGAATAATGTTCGGGCTTTTTGCGTGTTAATACAAAAAAATAGCTGTTGAAATGAATAGGCTGACAACCACTAATGAATATATATTTATAAACTATTGCATATTAATAGATGTATCCTTATTATATTGATAATATATGGTGAAGCAATGAGTGCTCGAGACTGAACTCAATGTTTGCCCAGTTAATGAAGAGCCACTGCAATGGGTCCTTGGCCGGGTCCCTTTAAATTTAAAGGGACCTGACCATGCCCTGGTTCAAGGAACTTTTGCGACTCCGTGAATTTGCAGCAAAATATTGCAGAAAAAGCACCGTACACCAACCCTGTGTAAAAATCCCAGTGGGATGCAAGTCAAACAACAACAACAACAACCACAAGACAACTTATATTAAGGCCATCAGTCTTACTCCGTACTACAACAAACAAACATGGCTAAACCAATAAACTTTTCGAAATCACCAAAATAAAGCCATGAAAGCAACGTGGGGATTTAAGAGTTATGCAGGCTCATCGTGAAGTCGGCGGGCTGGTGAATTCATTAATCGGTAAAATTAATTGATTGGGCTAATTGATTCATTGGTTAATCAATTGATCGCTCTGCTTCCGAATATTTTACATTCGCGTGAAATATAAGGGAGCGGGCAAACTTCACCTTGTTTTCAAGTCGTCCGCGGGAAATGCCTAATTCGAATTGTTTGATCTTGATTTGAAGCTTTCGTGACTGCAGGAATCCATACTCTTTGGTTCTTTCGGTAAAGTCACGTAGGTAGAAAATAAAATAAAAAATAAATCGAATTGTTTGGTTGTTTAAACACGTATTTATTAGCGTTAGTGTTTATCTAAACTTGCTAAACATTTCTTTGATAGAAATCGTACTAATTTGCAAAGTTCATCTATATATTATATGCGTCACTAAAGGAATGTGTGTGTGTGTGTTTTATAAAGTGTGATCTTGGGCAACTTTTGTACGTTTTTTTCTAGATTTGAAGTTTCGTGACTGCAAGGATTCATACTCTTAGGTTTTTTTCGGTAAAGTCACGTAGGAAATAAAATAAAAATTAATAGAAGAAATAATAGAAATAAAATAATTATTTTATTTCTATTATTTCTTATTTTCCTACGTAACTTTTGTACAACTTAAATATTGAAAACGAGGTCACGGTCGCCACATTGTAACAGTGTTCAGCACTTAAGTCCCCGGTTCACATCACAAACCCGAACAGTATTGTCGATATCTGTACACGTTTTTCCTGCCTTCCTTAAAGATCGAATCAAACAAAATGTGGGGCGGCAGTAGCAGCAAATATTTCCCAGGCCGCGTGTTATTCGTTACGCCTTAAAATCATGAATGAAGAGCGAACGTCGCGAATCACAACCGTGCGTTCGTTAAGCTCGCCGCTCGTGTGTTTTTAAAATGTGTTTGTTTGTCGTTGTTACGATCACGTCGCGTTCGACCAGATCAGTATTCTCAGCCGTTGGCGAAAGTTTCGCCGGTGGGGCCCCGTCAAGACGCAAAACACCCCGTCGCAAGCCCCTTCGCGTAGCCATGGGTCGCGAGCAGGTGGTGCGGCCACCACCCCCGTTCCGGCCACCACCCCCGTTCCGGCCACCACCCCCGTGCCAGCCACCACCCCCGTGCCGGCCACCACCACAACGGCGGTTGTCTTGTGGGACGCACGCGGTACTGGCTCCTGCCATTGAAATGTGGAATTTACACCGCTGGCTCGAGTCTGCCAGTGGAGGTGTTGCGATAAGCACCACGGCGATGCTAACGAAAGAAGGGCGCCACGGTGGAGAGATCTTAACCGCCTCGCCTGGTACACAGGAGGTCGTGGGTTCGATCCCGAGCCTGACGCCTGCTGCTGTATAGTTGGAGTTTGCGTGTTTCTCTCTCTCTCTCATCATCATCATCATCACGGTGGCTATGAGATGTTAACCGCCTCGCCTGGTACACAGGAGGTCGTGGGTTCGAGCCCGACCCTGACACCTGCTGCTGTATATTTGGAGTTTGCGTGTCTCTCTCTCATCACGGTGGAGAGATGTTAACCGCCTCGCCTGGTGTACAGGAGGTCGTGGGTTCGATCCCGATCCCGACGCCTGCTGTATATTTGGAGTTTGCGTGTCTCTCTCTCCGTGGTTGCGTGGATTTTTTCTCCGGGTCTTCCCGTTTTCCCCTCCACATTTGGAATCAACACCACCACCACCACCATCACCCGTTTAGAGTATTCGGCTGCTGTAAATTTCCACACGATGAGCCACTTCGTTGCGCAAACCATTCGTGGTGGACAGGTGGTCGCATCTGAAAAAGAGCTTTGTTTAGCGCAGTTGACCTTACCTGGTGAAATTAAAAAAATCGTATATTTTTTTTTTACTGAACCTCTTCATCTTTCATTTCCTCAAGGGCTGGAATTGCATTCGACCGCTGGCCAACATCTAAGCGTATGTGGGGCCGACTCCATCCTCAGCAGGAGAATCACAGAAGGGCAGCCGCAGTTGCGTCCCCATGGGCGGATTTGACAGCGGCATTGAGTCACGGTGGACCACCCTGGACACAGCCGCTTTGACGCCTGTGCCGCTCACATGAAACCGTTTCATGCGCAGCCCCTTTGCGATGTTTTTTGACCGCCGCGATCTGCGGCAGATGCCAGCAGCAGCGCGCGACCGCACTTTGCAAGATGATCGCCGGTTCGATCCCATCTCCCGGTGGTGGAGACCGATTGAAACATCGGTGCCGGTTTTTTCTCAAAGCTTCCCCTCTCGCTCCTGTCGCCACCGCCTCCCCACACACACAACCCTTCCCCCAAAAAAACAAGGACACGGGAGAGCGACATTTTCCGTGTCATATGCAAATGATTCCACCGCACGTGCCTGA